ATAGATCTCGACGAGATCTACAACTTTCTAGTTTTGAGTTTTCCCATTTAAGGATGTGAAGATACTAAAAAAATTATATAATATTTTAGCAGTATACCTAGGCTGAAATTTTATATTATTTTCTCGAGCATCTTAACGGCATCAAATGTAAAAACTCAAAACTATAAAGTTGTAGATCTTATTGAGCGCTACAACTTTGGTATAAGAAGTATCTTTATTTGACCCCATACAAAGAGGATACTATTTTTCTAATGCGACAAGCGATAGTACGTGATTATTATGCGGCTGAAATTATATATATATTTTTTGAGCATCTTAACGTCCTCAAATGAAAAAACTAAAAACTAAAAAGTTGTATATCTTATCGAGATCTATAATTTTGATATAAAAATCATCCTTATCCGACGTCGTATCGAAAGTTATGATTTTTCAAAATTTGAGCTTTGTCACGCCACTCCCGGTGGCGCGACAGAACTGTCGCACCAACGGGAGTGGCGCGACGAGGTTTTCCACGTCGAAAACGTTGTCTAACGTGGCAGGTGTTGTCGTGCCAATGCATGTGGCACGACAACGTTATCTGGTCGCGCCAGCGGCATCGGCGCGACCAAAAGGGTTATATTCATAAAAAAATTTCAGGTGCAATTAAAAATGATTAAAAAATAAAAATTCTCGTGTGGCGGATGGGTGAAAAAAATTTGCGAGGGAGACGTCGCCCGTCCTTCTACGACTTACGCGACTTTAATGTCCCACCGTTATATGGATTGTGCACCATTAGATCTAAAGACAGTAAATCCTAGGGTCATAATATGAGGTGTGTAAAAAATTTCCATGAAAAGCCACTTGGTCGTTTGAGCCACAACACTTTGTGCCTTGTGGGTCACGACATCTATCTCGCATAGTTTTCATGACATCAGACCAAGGTGGCAATGTATCAAAAAAAAAAAAACATACCAATGACAGCAGGTGTGAGCTCAATAACACGCCACAAGCTACTACTCCTTCCATGTATATTTTTGGCTACCGGTCACAGTTCATACTAATCCCTGCTCAAAGAAAATCACGCTCGACGCGTTGGCAAGACATGGCTGTATTCAGGTATTCACAGGAACCAGGAAGCACTCATTAGCAGGTGTGGAGCCTCGACAACGTGGTTGAATTCTTCTCGCCCTACACAAATTTCAGATTAAAAACGACAAAACAAATGAGACACAGTCCAACCATGCATGTTGCTAAAAAAAGGACCAAATTGAAGAATCTCATTTCAAAGCTATGTCCTACATGGTCTTATCTCCGAGATTTTGTGCAACAATAAGTGCAATGTAGATGCCAAGCATTTAAGACAGATTTGTAACTAGCTCAAAGAACATTTGCTTATATTTTTTAATAGGAAGAACATTTTCTTATATTTTTTAATAGGAGAGATAGTTTCATGCATACACTCCAAGATTACGTGGACATGACGTGTGGGGGTCATTCATATTATGAGCTATGTGCTAAGAGCTAAATCATTGGAAGGGTTGTCTCTAAGAGTGCTTAGAGCTAGGTACTGGCTCATACCATTGGAGGAGGTCTAAGAGCAAGTACAATAATTAGTTTATAGCCAAGCTAATTAATATTTTTGCTGATGTGAAAGAGAGAAGGAAGGAGAGAGAAGAGAGCTGGGCTCTCATGCAAGCACCAAGCTAGGCATAGAAGCATAGGTAGTAGTGGGTCCCAATATGGATGTATGTGAGGAGCAATATGAAAGAGAATGAAAATATATAACAATATAAAAAGTTTGTAGACAAATAAAAGATTAACTATTGTATAGCTCAGCTCTTATAACTTGACTTATAGCCAAACACTTGGCTTTATTATTGACCTTGCTCTAAGGGAAGGTTACTAGTGAAACTCACTGGTACATTAAATACAGGGAATCAAGCAAAACAAGACAAGTTTAAATATTTGACACACTCACTAGATAGGTGATGGCAGGGCTGGAAAATGTTCACTTCACAGAGGACTTCAGTATCCTCAACGCTGCGCAAGCACCTGAAGAGAAGGTCCTTGCATTTGGAATATCCATTGAACCAAGATTTCGCTTCTGTATCCTCAGCGCTACAACAACACCTGGAGAGAAGGTCCTTGCATTTGGAAGTTCCCCTGAACCAAAATTCTACTTCCGGACCTTGGTGAATCAAAGAATGGTGGGAGCATTGATCATTGTATCAGGAGACCTAAGGACTACAAGCTATATTTAGAATAGAAATAACAGTTAAATAGCTTAGTATGCAGCAATTCAAAACAAGTTCCAAATATAACAAATATAACCAAAACTATTATAGCTAACTAATTCATCTGTTTGAACACTTCAACCAGATTATACAGAATATTCAGCGTTGGGCAAACATGATAGCTTATAAATTCTGACAGCACAGTTAATAACTCTCGGAGCCTGCTCTTGTGCAGTTACATACTCCTTGTCTAACACACACAACTATGACATGATGAATTTGTGGGATGCCAATGTCGTCTTGTAATATTTCCATTTTGACTAATACAAGTTAAATATTAAATATGGAACACACATTTGTTTTTAGAAAATTGGTTGGAGAAGCATGGAAATGCTCATTTTTAGGATTTCTGGGCTGTTACTGAATTGGACAATTCTTTGCCCTCCCGACAAGAAGGATATATTGGTAGAATATATCAACAAGATCAAGGCAGAAGCGGGCAAGATTATGTGGCTTTTATTTGGGCGCCTAAACACCACTTGAAGTTTCATAGAGATGAAAATGAAGGAGTGACCTAGAGTAACAAGGAGCATGAAGACCTGATGGCTGAACTGAAGCTTCCATGGTGGAGTTCTCTGAACATCTCTTTCAACCTGGCCTGAAGACTTGATCCTGATGCTTTGAATAGTTCTTGATCCAGCTGTTTCTTTTAGAGTAAAGCTATATGTCACTCGGGTGATTTTTGGGCTGCTGTCACTTGAATTTTTTGATGTTCGCACAATACACATTTGATGTTCACATAGTATATAAGTGATGTTCTATGAAATCTGACAAATTTACATATAGTATACATGTGATGTTCTATGATGTTTTTTATGATGTTCACATGGTATACAAGTGATGTTTCATAAAAATCGCATTTGGGAGGCGTGTAAAGCAACAAAAGATGCCAAGTACCAAAAATAGTACATATGATGTTCATATAATATACATGTGATGTTCTCTGATGTTTTATGTGATGTTCACATGGTATATAAGTGATGTTCTGTAAAAATCATGTGAGAGAGGCGTATAAATAACTCAGGTGTGATATAGACATACTCTTCTTTTATGGATATCTAGTATGTTTTCTCTTATTCAGTGTTCTCAGTCCTGGTGGACACATTCTGTGGCTTGAACCCCTGAACTGTAATAACTCTTGGCCTTTTTATTTTAATTGAAAGGCCGGGACGTATGCCCTTGAACTCTAAAAAAATTGTTCTGTTGTCGGTCCTTAATGCCTAAATTTACCCGCCAACTTTCAAATAAAATCCGCTTAAATGAACGCTAAACTCAGAATTAGGATTTATAACTAACAGATTCCACGAGTTTAATTTTGGTGATTTATCATTTGTAGAAAAATATTTCTAGAAACCATGGAAAACATACCCAAAATGTGCAACAGGAGAAAGCGTAACACAGATCCAAAACAAGCAAATGAAGGAAGGCCTACTTACCTGAGGATCCTAGGCCTCAAACCACATAGACGTGGCCTAGGCCTAGCAAGCCACTGACATGCAAAGGACAGTTGGGGGGAGGCACAGCCACGGTGCGGGCGCACCCTCAGCGCACCGGCTTCCCTCCTCCTTCCACATGGCGCTTCCTGGTGAACTCCCCAAGACGGTTGCATGCGGACATACGAGGAATATTCCTCCAAACCGACCTTCTCTATTGCTATAAATAGGGAGGAGAAGCTCTCCATTCACACACACCACAAGGGCAATCCTCACTCTCTTTGCCAAGATATAAAAGTAGTATAGGATTAGTTTAGAAGTTAGAGAGAGAAGCTTAAGTTCCGAAAGAGCCCCTGAAGTTCCGGTATAATCTTGTATCGGTTCTTCGTAAGGCTCAAGTACTTTATATTTATCTTCTCTAAATACTAAATTATCCTTCATGGTTATCTATTTCTCACCTTAGTTGCTTAGCTAAAGCATGGTTAGTATAGTGATTTACACCTTGACATGGGATCTCCGCTCGACCGAGTGCTCTAGTTGTCATATGTGGCTAGAGTAGTAATCGATAGTATAGACGTGGTGTCTAGACTATAGATTACCTGAGTTTACGCTCAACCCCACGGATAGTTGTGGTAGCCCTGGAGGTGATAGCTCCGACCAAGCCTTTGTAATCCACCACGTTCGGGTTGGTGTTTTCGTAGAGCTTTTGGTAGCCTGACCCCGATCACCCTTTCTAGTCTTTTTGAGGATAAAAAAGGAACTACTGCTCCAAAGTGTCTTGGTGTGATCGCTATGTCTGACCTCTGCTTAACTAATCCCTCTGGTTTGAACTACAATAAAACCATAGTAATAGAGAAATGCATAGGAACCTTGATCTCTCCTGTTGTCCTCTCAGCTTAGCATGTCTGCTCTTTTATCTTATCATGGAGTTCTCCTGTGTGTGTCACTTATACAAAACTCCTATTTTACCACATACCCCCACTTTAGTCTCGTCGGTATACTAGTTAGTGGATACATGATGATTTCTGAGGATAAATACGATACCCTGCAATACTCCTCGGTGAAAGCTACAACGGTATCCATGAGCTTGCGGATTTCTCTGTTTGCGTTAACAAATACCAACATGTACCACACTCACCTTAGGATTCATTGGCCATGGGCGCGCGAACTGTGCACTGAGAAAGTGTGGTATTCCCCCTGCCATGTCAGCGTTTTCATCAAGTGCGAAGGCTAACCAGTCTGTAGCCTTAGATGACCTTCGACCAAACAATTGGTTTTATGGGAGTACACAGACTCAATCTAAAACACCTTCGGTTGTTTCGATTCCTGTTAAAGCTAGAATTATTGGGAAGATATCTTCTTCACGGCTAAACTTTCTTACGAGGTAGTAATGCAATTTGGACCGCCCCAGTGAGCTCCACCTCTTAATTCTGGGAGATGCAGAAGGATGCCACATATTCAAAGTCAACTCTTCTTCTTCGTCTTCTAAAGTATCGCAGGTCCAATCAAGGAGTTCATTAGATTTCGCAGCTTCAATGCCATAGGTGATGAGCATGGCACAAGCCTTCCGAACTTCAGGTGGAACAGGCAGCTCGTCCTTGTAGGTTGAGAGAGTTTTGCATGCTCTTCTGGCTGCAGGGATTCCCATCTCGACATCATCATGATTACCGGTGGGACACAATCCTTTTTCACTATTGTGGTCAGGGAGGCAGCCTCTAAGCAAGGACCAGTTTGTTCCATTTGTTAAGTATGGACAATTATGGGCTTGATGATAATACTCAAAACGTCCATGCTCGTTCCCAATCCCATAATTCCACCCTTCCCTTCCATCAATTGCTAAAGTTACAGAATGATCTTCAAAGGTAATGGTCAAGTAGAAGGTTCCGAACATGGCAGTAGTAAAGATCACCATGTCAATTACTTTAAAAAAAGATCACCATGTCAGGACCCGGCACTAGTATATAAATTTTAATAGAGGCGAGCATTGCAACCACATCAATCAAAGGCCTTCGTTAATACAACATTAACAAGGACGGGCGTCTATTAATACAGCATTAACGGAGGCAGGCGTCTATTAACCGAGGCAGGCGTCTTAACATGCCCGCCTCAATTAATGTTCTCCAGAAAACCCAAAAACCCAAAAAACTTGCGACTTTGGAAAATCAAACCCACGACTTGCCACTCAACACTACCATGTCTCTACCACCGCACCGCACACTCATTCATGTCTATATATAATATGCTATCTTTTTATATCAATATTTCCAAATCTTATATTGGATATTTTGGCTACTAAATGAACTCAAATGAAAAAACTTTTAACAACAAAGTTTAAATCTTGTCAAGTACTACAACTTTGGTACATGATGTATCTCCATCAGAGATAGTTTGAAAAATTCAAAAAATTGAGTATCAAAATATTTAAATTTCAAACACATATTTGACACTCTAGATGACTTTAAATCAAAAAACTGTCAATATCAAACATGTAGATCAGCTCGGCCACAAGAACTTTAGTATTAACAATGTGAACATTTGAGATCGTTTAGGAATTCTAAATTTTAAATTTTAAAATCTATAATCTTCAAACACACATTTGTGACTCTAAACATCTTCAAATTAAAAACTTTTTAACTACAAAGTTGTAGATTCTATTAAGAACTATAACTTTTGTATAGACTATGTTAACATCCGAGATCGTTTGATAATTTTAAATTTTAAATTTTAAAATATATGCAATTACAACAATATTTTAGGACCCTAAACAATTTCAATTCAAAAACTTTTCAACTAAGGGCCTGTTTGGAAGCCTAGTTTTGAGCTCAAAACCGGTGTAAATTACAGGTCTGAAAAATTTTACATGCTCATTCAAAAACTGCTGCTTGGATGAGTTGTGAACCTAATAATTTTACACCCGTATTTGGCCAAAACCGGTGGAAAAAAAACAATCGTGTGAGGAGGTCTGGAAAAAAACACAACTATCGGGCACGTCTCTCGCTCGGTCGCCCCTCCGCTCCCCCCTCGACTCGGCGGCGCCGAGGTTTTCCCCAGTGGCCTTGGCGCCGAACAAATCATAGGCCGGCGCGGAGTGAATCGATGGGACAAAGAACGAATCAAGGCCACGACTAACAAATCCGCGACGACGAAGTTTGAATCGAGGTATCCTCAATCCGCCTTCTTCGAGTCCTATCTCGCCTGTATTTTTCTGTTCTTGTGCGGACATTCCAAAAGGCTAGCGAATCGATCTCCAGGTACATGCTTGCATGAATCAATAGATCTAGCATGTCGTGTGATGCAGAATCATAGGATTAGCGCTACAGCACAATCGAACCCGGTGTCCGGTGATGTGCTGCTGATCCGCTGGCTCGCCGGAGGGTTCCTTGTGGGTCGTGGCAGCGTTCCCGAGCTGGTGGCGGAGAAGAGGGCGTCCATGTGGATGAGAAAATCCATGTCCCCGACTATCATATCCTCCTCGGCAACAATCCATTCAGATATTGTTCACTCATACTCTTCTACCCCCATATCGTTCTTGTATTTTTGTTCTCTGTAGCTGTTCTTCTAGCGAATCAATAGATGCACCCTGTCCATGTCGATCTTCTGCTAGTCTCCTTGATCACTTCTGCACAGCATTGATAGTACCTTGTTGGCTTCCTTTCACGTGAATGAGTAGTAGCGCTAATACATAACTATATGCTTAGATCTCCATCAAACAATTGTAGAACATGCATGCATATATGTATGATGACTATTTCTTTTGCGAGAAATTATTTGCTTGTTATATAAAAAATATATGATCTGAGAGAACAAAACACTAGCTATCTGATACACACTCTTTAGAACATGTGGTATGTAACATGCATATATGTAGTGATGCCTACATTCTTGGAACAATATGCAGGTACAGTTCATAGAGTTTTTATGTGTATATAAGGTTCAGAACACATGCACTTTCAGAGAGTCTTTATGTGTATTTGAGTTCTCGAAGAAAAGATAGATAGCAATGTCCTTACTTTCTGGTATGTATATTGCAGTCTAGCAAGCTTGGTAACACTAGATTTATGTATGTATCATGTCAGGAGATGGAACAATGGAAGTAACACTTGATTGATTATACAGATGCATGCCGTGTATCAGAAAGAAAGGGAAAGAGCTAGAGAGGAAAAGGTTGAGATGAATCAGGCTAGATTGGAAGCAGACTGACAGTAGTATTGCTGCAACTTTAATTTGTGATGATGAAGGTACCTTGATAGCTTTTGCTGCCAATACTGCATTTCCTTGTCATGATTTTATCAATCACTAAAATTAATAGAGGAACTATAAACATGACTATTTGTGGAGTACAAAGAAGGCTACACTAGCAATTATTGTCTCCTTTGTTTGGACCAACATGGGCTCTGATATTGTGGTTTTTAGCATGGGCACATGAACAACCTTACAATATATAGCTCAATTTTGACTTGATTTTTGTTGCGGATGTTGAAACAATCTATGGCATGGCTCAATTCATGGATGTTGAAACCACACTATCTTTTTTAGTTTGGACATACTCCTATGGAAATGCCTTTTGGACTTCTAATCTTGGCTTTCACTTCCATGATATGAGTGTTAGAAACCACACTAGCTGCTAAATGATGGTCATGCATAGATGTATTTGTTAATTTATGCCATTAACCTTGCACACTCATTTTCAGGTTAACTTTGTATTTAGTCTCCATGTAACTGGTAACATTCATCATTTCCAGTTTTTGACACTAGTTCAATGGTACACTGACTGCTATTCTCGATATGGTTTGGTTTACATATGTAGCAGAGTCTAGTCAGTCTTATTCAATTTGTAATGGAATCTCTTTGAAAATGCTTACTTGTTTGTGTTTTTTAACAATGCTGCACACTCATATTTATAACTCTGTGTTGCAGGTTAGTGGCTTCAAAAAATTTGAAGATCTTGCAAGATCATGGTCTTGTGTGAGCTTTACCAAAAAACATCTTTTTGGTCTGAAGCAACCCTATATTTCCTTGGATGGGTGATGACATGTAATTATCTCATTTTTTCAATTGAGCAATGACATACCTACTGTGATGCATAGTTCAGTGATGGCATTTGATCCTGTACCAGAGGCATGTATTCTATCCACTTAGAAAATTTGTCGATCAGCACAAAGACGCATGTAAATTTCTCAGGAGCCGGTTTGAAAGGCCCGATCATATCCAGTCCCCAGCATGCGAAGGGCCAAGAGGCTGGTATTGTCTGGATCTCATGTGCTGGTACGTGGATTCTCTTGGCGAAGAACTGACAACCCTCACAGTGGCGGACTAGCTTCTCTGCGTCGGCTACTGCTGACGGCCAATAGAACCCTGCTCGGAAAGCCTTACCGACCAGCGTTCTCGAGGCTGCGTGGTTGCCGCAGGAGCCGGAGTGGATTTGGTGCAGGAGACGTTCGTCGTCCTCCCGGGTTATACACTTCATCAAGATTTCCTCATTTGCGTTCTTGCGCCATAACTTGCCATCGACGAGCAGATACTGCTTACTGCGACGCATCATGCGCTTGTTTTCTGTCCGATCAGTATAACTGCTGCCATCTGTCAGGTACTTGATGAAAGTTTCTCTCCAGTCGGGCTCATGCGTGGTCGGAGATGGCTCAGCGGTGCTCGACACCGGAATCGTAGCCACCAATTGCTTGTCTAGAGGCTTGTCGACCGTGGGATCTTCCTCCTCAATGGAAGGCGTGAGCAGGTCTTGGACGAATACGCCATGTGGGACTTTGGCTCAGGATGATTCTAACTTGGACAACGCATCTGCTGCTTGATTTTTGTCCCGGACCACGTGTGTGTACTCGATGCCATAAAACCTGTCTTCCAGCTTTCTGATCAACTTGCAGTATGCATCCATTCTTTCATTGGTCGTGTCCCAGTCCTTGTTGAGTTGGTTGATGATCAGAGTCGAGTCTTCGTAGACATAGAGACGTTTAACGCCGAGCTCAACCACAATGCGCAAACCATGTAGGCATGTTTCGTATTCAGCGGCATTATTAGATGCTGGAAAATGAATCCTGAGGATGTACCGGAGCTGCTCCTTGGACGGCGACACGACAAGGACTCCTGCTCCTGCGCCGTCGATGTTGAGGGAACCGTCGAAGTACATCTTCCAACACTCATCGGGCCCCTGAGAGGTAGGCATGCTTAAGTCTGTCCACTCAACGATGAAATCGACGAGTGCCTGAGACTTGATCGTAGTACGGCTTGCGAATTCCAGGGAAAAAGGGCATAGCTCCATTGCCCACTTGACAATGCGTCCGTTCGCGTCCTTGTTGCTAATTATGTCTCGCAGAGGGTACTCAGTCATGACCACCACACGATATCCGTCGAAGTAATGTTTCAACTTTCGGGATGTTATCAGTATGGCATAAATCAATTTCTGGATCTGTGGGTACCTGGTCTTGGATTCATTGAGCACCTCACTGATGAAATAGATTGGGCGCTGTACCTTGTAGACATGGCCGGGCTCGTCGCGTTCGACCACCATGGCAGTGGAAACCACTCGATTAGTTGCCGCAATGTAAAGCAGGAGTGTTTTGTCTTCTCTGGGAGCAGTGAGGACCGGAGGTGACGTAAGGTATTGTTTCAGCTGTGTGAAGGCAGCGTCTGCTTCCTCTGACCACTCATACTTCTCGAATGCTTTGAGCAGTTTAAAGAACGGTAATCCCTTCTCGCCTAATCTTGATATGAAACGGCTAAGAGCAGCCATGCATCCGGTAAGCTTCTGAACATCCTTCACCTTTTTGGGTGGCTTCATGTCCAAGACAGCTTTGACTTTCTCCAGGTTAGGGCGTATGCCGTTGTGACTGACGACGTTGCCAAGTAGTATGCCAGAAGGAACACCAAAGATACACTTATTTGGGTTTAATTTCCATT